CCCCCCTTCATGAAAGAATAGGGAGCGGGAAAACAAATAGGATGGGATTATCTCCTGAGTGTCTAGCGTAGGTTCATCTACTCGTCTCCACCTAGAGTCAGCTACGGTAATCCCACCATTAACGCACTGAAATAGACGGTAACACGTTCAATGGCAGTCTGAGTCCAGAATGAACCCCCTTCAGTGCTGCTGGCTTCACATCCTCTACCTATACTGGGCACAGGGTGACTCGAATGTATTGCCAGGGGGAGATATGCAGCGTATCCACTCCACACATTAATCTGGGAGAATAGTTCCTTGTAACCCCAAGAGGTCAAACAACAGAGGTCCTGCAGCCCAGAAACCCTCGGGGTGAGCTGCAGCAGAGGATTGGCCGTCCCGTGTCTCTTGGTGAATCTCGTCCGGAGGGTTTTCAGGTTGCAGGAAGATTTTGGCTCTTGCGATTGTGGCCGAGGAACACCCGCCGTGCAATACGGGGAACCTCATCACACTGATAACTCCAGGAACCGCCTACACCAGTCTGAACGCTGCCTTCATGAGTGGATCTAGGGTTGTCACCCGTCCGGTTTTGACCCGTGCAGTCCGTTTTTGGTGTGTTGTGTTGTGTATGGGTGCCCAGCCAGCGGGCACTTTACATTTTCTGACAGGTGCGGCTGCTGAGGTCCTTGTCAAGCGCGATCTCGAGCAGCCAAATCTGCCTAAAACTCGGGTCTTCCTCTGAGCTGGGGGCAGCCTGTGCCTGTAGCTCAGGGAAAGATTCGGGTTCCAGGCAGATGTGGCTGTTCGAGATCCCACTTGACTAGGACCTCGAGTGTCACTGTCTTTTTTTTAACAATAGAGACTCATAGTTTTGTATACAGTGGGGGGCCCCAGCAGGTTACATGCGTTGGTGCCACTTTGGGCGGTGTCCCGCCTCACGGTGTAGTGTGAAGGAGCCCCTCCATAACCTAACCATGGCTGACTCCCGGCCCACTGTGAGCGCACTGTGGTCTGACCATTGCTCACTTATATCCCCAATGACTTCTACCAGCCATGGTCACCCCCCGACCAGGACACACACCCCGCAATTCTGCAGCCCCGGAACTAATAATGAGCTGAAGTCCCTCTCCAGCCGGAAGTTCAGGCCGCCGGACACATGACTGTGGCCCGACTATGGAACCCACACCCCGAAACCATCAGACCGCTCCCACGTGACCAAGTCCTCCGCCACCACAGAGCACTGAAGCTAGAGCGGCACCGGAAGTGAGCGCTCCTCCCCGGATACTACTCGCTCGTGTGCCGTGTGTCCGCCTGCTGATTTCTCTTCAACTTCCGGCGGCGCCATCACTAGAGACTTAGACATGCCGACCGGAGACTACGAGTGAGTAGACCGGGGGAGGGGGCTGTCACATGCCGGGGACATCATGACGGGTGACGGCTGAGGGACAGGAGACGGGGGGCCCTGGGTGAGGGGAGACACAGCTGGACGTGGGGGATGGGTTCCAGCTGTGATTTGATCCACACATGAATGCCGGCAGGAGGGCAGGATAGGGATGGCGGTAATAGGTATTGGAGATGATGGGGGTGGTTGTCATGGGTTCAGTACAGATGGGGATGGTGGAACAGTAGTGAAAGAGATGATGGGGGTGGTAGTGAGGGGCACAATAGTACTGGGGGATGATGAGGTGGTAGTGATAACTACAGTAGTACTGGGGGTGGTAGTGGTAACTACATTAAAAGGTGGGGGTGGTAGTGGTAACTACAGTAGTACTGGGGGTGGTAGTGGTAACTACAGTAGTACTGGAGGATAATGGGGGTGGTAGCGGTGACTTCCTGATCTGTACTCGATCGGCTTCGATAGGCTGCAAAGGTGACATAGGGGTCTATTAGACCTCCCCATGTGTCTGCAGGAACCTCTCGGCACTTTGGTGTTTGGGGGTCTTCTCCGAGATCATCTGCAGAAGCGCAATGCGGCGGAGCGGAGACGCAGCCGGGTGGCAGAAGCAGAACATAGGAAACCCATAGAATGTCATTCTGGAAGAATCCGCCGCTTCCCGCCCTCACCCCGCCTCCAATCCGGAGACGTCTCATCATGGAGGTCTTCCCACCACATAGACATTTCCCTGAGGGGGGATCTCGGCGAGGAAATCCTCCGCACAGGAGGCCGTTTGTCTGCCAACGGGGCCAATCCATGTATCCATGCAGGCCGCCATGAACCCCGGAGGTCGGGGGCTGTGTCACCATCCATGGAACTGATTTCCTCTGTCGCATATTACCATCAGAGAGACTCCAAGTAAAAAGACAAGACATCTCTGGAGGCACATTTGCCTGAGGTGTATCCCTTGAAATGCTGCAACTACCAATACCTGTTCATGTGCCACAAATATGTTATGCTCCGCCCTCCCTCTGTCGCATGACCACACCGCTCTGAATTACTAAGCTGATGGTGTCAGCCCTGCCTACTTCATTCCTGCCGGATTACAAACCGCACAAATCTCCTCTTACCTTCTCCTCCCCCATTTCCATCTCCTCCCCCCCATCTCCTCCTGCAATCCTCGTTT